ATCAATTAAAAATTTTTATTTATTCTGAATTCTTTTTAAATACATCATATAAAACATATATAGTAGACCTTCTTACAATTATAAAAGAGAAGTTTTTTCATGAATATACATATTATAAAGGCATAGTAAAATTACTTTGATGCTTATTAATAGATGGTGATCCAAACGAAAATTCTAGATTCTTATCTAATATCTTAAAATATTTGTTACTTTTTAAAAACTTAGATTTAAACAATCTTATTATTCAAATATATACTTTTGAACAATCAGTTTATAATCCTAATAGAGCAAAGTATAGCATCACTTTTGATAAACTAGCTGTTATTATGTTTAATGTTTTTAATTATGGTAATTATTTTGAAAATGTGAATAAATGTATTACTGTTATTATAAAAAGCTTAGACATAAAAATTTTAAATATGCTGATAAACATTTATATGACTTATAGGATTGTAATCTTATTAATGAATAACTAGTTATTGGTATTTATATTGAAGAACATGATCAACTTGCATTTTTAGATATTAAAAAAGAAATATGATTGGATTGATCATCATTTAAAAATTTGTAAATATTCTGTTAATTTTCATAAGTAAGAAAATAGAAATTATTGTAAACTTTCACAAATTTCTCATATCTATGAACTTTTATCAATAAATAATAGTTTTTATTCTTTCTATTGTATAAGGATAGAATAAGCATTTTTTAAATATATTTCACACATTAGAATATTTTAGTGATAAACTTCTTAGTTATAATAGACATTATTCAAGTATTTCATCTGAGTGTATCATGAATTTGTTTTAACTAAAGCTTTATAAAGAATCATATTAAAACAATGTATTTAAGTAAAAGAAGAAGAGCAGCATAAAGTAGTTAAAAAGGATAAAAAAAAGAATGCAATGGTATTTAGGTATAGAAAAGCAGGATCCCAGACATTACATATAGAACTCATAACTGATCTGCATAAAATCAATTACTTTTGCTTCTTTCAAAATTAGCCTAATTTACTCAAAATCAAATTATTACATTGAAATTTATACTAATTTGCTAAAATTTAAAAGATGACTTTAAATATTTTTTTATATTATTTAATAAAGTTTATTAGATAATTTTGCATAAACTACAAAAATAACCAAAACTGAACAGCAGTTAAGTAGTCCTAAATATGGAAAATAAGGTTTGTAATGTATATATAATTAATTAAATTCATCACAAAAAGTGCATTAAAAATCATTTCTGTTTCTTAATTTTAAATTGATCGATAAATTATATAATTAAACTATTTGAAATTGTATTTTTATTTTATTTCTATAATATGTATACAAATTATTTATTCAGTTTTTTATTAAGTACATTAAAAGTTTTTTTTTGCACATCCTTTAAGAATCAATGCTTCTTCATTAATACTAATATCTTTAGAAGCCAAATGGTAAATAATATGCAAAGTGTCAATATGAGTAAAAATACAAAAAAATTATTTAAAATTTTCAAAAAATTGTACCATTAATATGAAAATAAATTTTCATAGATACATACAAAAAAGATTTGAGATTTGAAACAAAAATATCAATATAAAAATGTATTGAAGTCTTTTGTTCATATATAGCAATGATTTGAGCAATACAAAGTATATTATCAAACATAGCTATTACATAAGAATCAGTTTATAACGAAAAAATAGCAGTTACATTAGCACATGAAAGATACTCTAAAAAAATAAATAAAAAGATAAATTAAGTTAAAGAAAATTAAAAAACTAATTAATAAGAAAAATTCTAAATTTACCTGGAGAGTTTTGCTTTCCAAATACTTTATTATTATTTTCTTCTGATTTTCATCTATTTTCTTGTAATTTGATAGTTATGGAATCATTTTTAATCAAATATGAAACCAAACTACTTGCTTTATTAATGTCAACTTCGCTATTGTTTTCATTGATATTTCTCAATAAAACTTTTTTTTTATTCAAGCTTTTTATTTGAATAAGCATCATGATATTGATGCAAATTTAAAAAGTATTCAATATTTAATAATCTATCATCCAAAATATAATCAAAATCTTTGAAATCTACATATAAATATACAGACAATTAAAAAAAACAAATTAGAAAAAAATATTAAATAATAATAATAAATTACTTACAATTAGATACTATAAAATATCAGGTAATTTTGAATATATTTTACAATTATTTAACAGGTTTTATAATTTTTTTCTAATAAAGGTATAGATGCTATAATATCCAAATCTGATAAATCAGGTTTCTCTTGACTTGATAACTTAGATACTGTATAGTTTATATTTTGAGAAATAGTTAAATCATTATTATCATTAGACTCTTTATCAGTATACCTAAATAAATTTGAATTATCATCTCAAAAATCTTCAAGTTGTAAAGTAGGAAGACTTTTGTGAATGGTAAAGTAATAAGCATCATGTGGTATAGCGATTATTTTCAAATATTTTGCTAAATGAACAGCTTTTTCATAACTTGCTTTAATTGCATTATTAATCTAATATTAGATAGCTAGTAGTGTAAACATCACCTATAAAATCAATTTCTTCACATCTATTAAAATCATAACCTAAATAAATTGATCAAAAATGTAATAAATCATGTGATGTAAAATAAATTAAATCATATGATAGACTTAAAAAATACTTACCTTCACGCACTGTTTTTTCCTTTCTAAATGTCAAATTATTAGATTTAACAAATCTAAAATATTGATTAATTTTTGAAACTATTAGAACGATTTTCAAATGATTAAAATCAGAACAAAATTGGCAGGAAATTCCAAAAATATGTTCACATGACTCAGTGCCATGTTTTTATGGTAATAAAAGAATATCTTTATAATAATCATAGTGAATTTTAATTAAAAGAACTAAGGATTCAACTTGACTAATCATAATATTAAAAGTTTGCATTGCTAAAAAGTTTTTTGAAATGGATATATAAGAAGGATAAAATGTATTAAGAGTTTTAATATGATATTTTCATAAATATAAAAAAAAATATGCAGTTATAGCCATTTTGACCCTTTCATAATGTGTAATATTTTGATTGAAATAGCAATTAATAAGTTCTTCTAAGTTAAATTTAATTAATTAAACATTTAATAAATAAAAATAAAAAATAAAAACAATAGTACTTACCTATAACGAAAAGATAAATAAACAATTCACGCTGTTTATAAGGTAAATTTATTTCTTCATCAAGTAGTTATTTCAGGTTTTTTGAGCAAAATACTCTATACGTTATATTATTATCTTAGTGATCTAATATATAATACTATCTTTTTTATGGGATAATTCTAATAGTTGATCAAATCAGATAGTAGAATTTCCAAAAGTAAGTAAATAGGCACCAAACATAGTAGCATTTCTTGCTATTTTTTTTTTCATATTTCAGGTCCTGAATTTAAACTACAGGTCTAACTTTAGAGAATACAAGATAGTTATAATTAATACCAAATTGAAAGTTTCAATATTAAACATACCTGTTAGTTTTAGTTGCTTGTAACAGGTTTGTGCTTGAAATTCTGTAGCTACTCCATTTGATCTAATGGAAATAATATGTATTTCAAGTCTTGTCAAAATATTAATAAGTTTTTAATGTAATACAAAACTTTTTTAGCATTATTATTTCTAGCAGTTAGAATTAATGCAATAATTATGGACGGAAATTTTGGAAGAGACATCTGATATACAATAATAACAATCAATTAATTAGTAATTTCTTTATCAGCCTAATCATAAAAAAGAATTTTTAATATATATACATATGATATTACGATATGTACATATAAGTTACACCGATTAAAATATAACAGCTTATTTAAGCGTATGATTTTGATTTTAATTTTTTTAAAATGCATTTCAAAAAATTTATTATTATAATAATAAAAATTACTTGAAGAATATAAATTCTGATATCTTTCGTAATTGCATTCCTTTGTTTAATATTAGAAACTTTATCATATATATCATCATAAGTTTCAATTTTGCAATCATTACTATCTAAAGTTGATTCAACAATACAATTTAATTTTGATAAATATTGTAATTCTGCTTTTAATTTTGTGCAATCAGTTATTACTATTACTGGACATTTATAATTTATTACATCTAAAAGCCTTTTAAACCTAGCAACATTTTTATAACAAAGTTCAGAATTATTAATAGAGTCTTCTGAAGTACTTCTATAACATCTATAATTAATTTAAAATTATAAATATATTTAAATATAAATGTAATAATATAAATTTAATTACCTAATTATATGAATTATCATACTAGCCAAATTTTGATGAAATAAATCTAATGCTTTTAGACTAATACTTTTCAAAATAACAAGAAAATCTAAAAATTCATTAAAATACTTGAGATTTTGTAAGCCTTTATCTTTTTTTTTATGTTTTATAGCTTGTAATATAATGTAGCAAAGCTCTTTAAATACTGGTCTTTATTCAAATATACCTTGGGTAGCTTTATTAGCAAGTTCTAACCAAAATCCTGCAGATGGTGAATTTTTATCAGTAAGGAATTCATTTAATTGTTTAATTTGAGAGTTTTTTAGATATGTTAATAATAGATTATTATCAAAATAAAATTTTGGTATATGTTTAATATTTTTTGGATTAGGAATAGCAGTTTGAATACAATTTCAAAAATAAAAATTATTACAAATAAGAAAACATAGTGAACAAATCTACCTATAAGTTTTTATTCACAATTGACTAATCGAATACATTTTCCTAATATAAAAAAGTCTTAATTTTTAATTAATAATCAAAAAAATTTGTAAAAAATAATAATTTAACTAAGACGATTGATAAACCATTCTGATTCAGCTACAATTTGTTTATTAAGTTCAATAATTTCATCATTATTAAGCTTCTTAGAATCAAATTTTGATACATATAAAAATTTATCTGAAAACATTTTTTTCAATAACTTCTCGCCAGTATACACCTTTATATTTAACTGGTGTTCAATTAATATATGTCTTTATTTGTTCAGAAATAAATTCAGGATATGGTATATTTAGTGTTAAGTTTATTAATGATGGTGATAATAGTTCCAGAGTGGTATTTTTTGTCTTTTTATTAGGTAAAATAGGAAATAGATCAGATAGACCAAGTTGTTGTTTTTTATTATTTAGTTTACATCTTGAACTTCTTGAATATTCATTAAGCTGTGAATCATCATAATCTTTATCAAGTAATACTTTTTGTCTACAAATGCAAAATACTGCATGTTCATTTATAATAGCTCCACAAAAATTATTTTTGGATAAACGTTCTCTAGTATGTTTCCACTTCATTATGATTGGAGAATACACGTTATTTTTTTTGAAAACTAGTTATGTATTCGTATAAAAATGTTTTTTTAAGAAAAGATTTTTTTTTATCAAAAAAAAATTTATATATCATATATATTATTACTAAAAAAGGTATCAAATTATCCAAAAATAAATTATGACTTTGTGAAAATCAATCCAATTTGCTAAAACTAAAAAATATGACTTTAAACCAAATTTAGACTAATTTGCTAAAACTCTAATTATAACTTTAGACAAAATTTATACAAATTTGCGAAAACTAAAATATGAGTTATATTAGAAATGTTTGGGGTTCTAGAAAAGCCTGCTGATTATATAGAAAGAGCATTAAATCATGATAAATATGCAAGTGGTAATAATAGATGTGAAAAAAGTAAAGTAAAGAAATCGCAACCTTGAGAACCTACATTTCAAATTAATCTTCATAAAGCATAATTTTTTGAATTTTTTTTGATGAATGCCATTATTTTACATATTAGATAAAAATAAAGTTTCAATTTTAGTGTTCTATTTTTTAGTGTTCTATTTTCAAAATTTTCTTTCTTTAGTAAATAAAAATTGGATTAAATTTGCAAACAAAAAATCAGTTTTATTATTTTTATTTTATTTTATTAAACTGTCATACATATTGATTACTGGTACCGATGAATAATGACTACTTTTTTTTTTTTTTATAATTTTAAAAATCGATAGATACTAGCTTCTGAAATAAATATTTTAGTAAAAAAATAATCATTTTTGTAATTGTTGCGTTATCATAATTGAGTAATTTAAAGGCCGGCGTTAACTAATCGTATTATATAAAAAAAATGACGAACCTTAATTCTTTCGGTTTTAAGCAACTGGTTACACTACTTTTTTTAGTTGGTTACAATACAAATTTGGTTTATTAAACTTATGAAATTAACGGGTAGATGATACTTCGGAACATTATTCTGGATAATTTGCCCAAATCAAATCTGTGCGACAAATCGATTTCTCCGTTTCTGCAATTTCTTGGATTGTACAATTTGTATTTCTAAAAACAGAGATGTCCGCTATTTATCAAGAGATAAAACGTCTCACTCAAGAGCTACCTAAAGAAAATTTTACTAAAATAATTGCTCACATCAGCAAGGATGTTAATCTAACAAATCAGATAAATGATGCCCTGGCTCTCTTTGATACGGATGAAGAGAAACATAAGTACTTGGTAAATTTTTTGGAATCTTTGAGAGCTGGTATGTTTTTACACAAAATTGTAGGCTTAAATTTTCCATTTTTCTCTGTCATATTCGCAAATAATACCGAATGCTTACATAATCTTGTGCTTTTCTTTTCTGCTTATCGTCAAAAAAACACATTTCACGTTATCGTAGATGCAACTGGTAAGTACCACGACTGTATAACAGTCATCTTGATTCTTAATTGTTTACTCTAAATTTTATCTACTCATATAAGGTCCCAAACTGACTGCTGAGAATGTCAAGAATATTTTGAACTCTTACATTCAGCCTCCAGATGATCCACTTCGCCAATCTCTTGCAAACTATCTTAATATCCCTGATGATGTATCCGACATTTCATCTCACTTAATGTTTGTGGACCGCTATGAAGAGATTAAGAATTTGATGCGAAACATGAAAAATTTGCATAACCTAATCAA